TTGCAGTTTCTAGATCTTCTTTTTAAATGTGTGATGATGTCTGTGTTCTCCATCTTATGTAAACTACAATCAGAGGAAGTTTATTCCTAGCTTTGTATAGATGTAAGTAACATTTCAGTAGAATCGCCTAAGTCAGTAGTGGGGACCTGTGGGAATCTGCTATTTAGAAAGAGTCCTGATTTTAGGGAGTTATAACATCTTGGTTTCTGCACAAGCTGTTCTGAGTGTGGATACACCCAGGCCCAGGGAGCCCCTTGTGGTATGTGGGTCCAAAGCTCCCAGCCCCTCTGAAATGCACCTGTGGACTCCAGTCTGTCCCTTGCCACTTGGGTTGAAGCAGAAGTTATCTCTGAGGGTTTTTAGACAATAAAGAACTGCAATTTCTGTTGAAGGAAATGTGAGAATCCACTCGGTGCAAATCACCTCCCCTCTGTGTCTTGGGGGAGCTGAGTTTGAGTCTGTTACCGGGCTCTTCTCTGGAAGCAACCAATCAATTGCTACTTGTCTGCTGTAATTTTCTACTACTGAAAACAAAACAACGTGGGTGAAGGAAGCAAATATGGGGTGGCTTATTTGCCACAATATGAGGAGCGCATGAAGCCTGCCTCTACCACAGAAGGTGGGTTTCCCTGGAAGACGTATTGCGCTCCTTCCCATCCCTGTTCTCTGGCTCCTGTGGTCCTCTCTGCCTCCAGCTTCTTACTGTACCTTCCTTTCCTAGGCAACTCTTACCCTTCCTTCCATGGCATCACCAATCCCTGCCACTGGGAGAAGACTTCCGGGTCACTCCAGCCTACCAAGACCTCTCCTTCCTCCCTGACCACTGTTTTATCCAGCCCTTCATGCATTTATTACACACATTGATTGGGCTCCCAGGTATATGTACAAAGGAACTCAAAGCCTCACTTACAGAGACTGAAGCAAGTAACTAAGTGTTCATTCTCTTCTGTTACAAGGTGACCTCTGGGTAAGCTCAGAGAACACATCTCAAGGACTCTCATGACCTTTCCAACCTATTTGCAATCGCTGGTGATTAGGCGGCCATCCAGGCTGCAGATAGCCCTTCATGTGACGCATAGAAGAGGCAGACATGGGGCCATGCCAGGAAGCCCCCTTTCCCTAGGACGCCAACCTCCTTAGGAGTGGTCCTGAGGTATAAGTGTCATGAGACCCACGGCTCCTCTGTCAGGTGCCCAGCACCCACGAAGCCAGCAGCACAACCCAGACGACAAGCAAATCCTTCACCCTCCCAAAGTCTTTTCCAGAAGTCCACCCTCTACCTTCAGTTTTAAGCAGAAACTTCACACTTATGTTTTACTGTCTAAAACTGAACCTTGTGACCGCTTTGTACCACAAGGATAGCTGTGCAAGTCAGTACTTTGATTTCCAACCCACAGAGAAGAGATTGAGCATGCACGATGACCAGCTCATGATGGTGTCTGCTCAATCTACTGCCCCCGAATTGGGAGGAGGGGACTGGCCAGGACAGCCTGATCCTCTTGCCGTGCAGCTGGCCTCTTGATGATTAGCATAACCTACTGCTGTCAGTCACTGGGCAGGCTGCCCTCCTTTCTCTCAGATTGCCCTGGCTCCCTTCTGCTTTGGTTTGTATAAGTGTGCCCCAAAGCCCCAGGTATTGAGCAGCTTTCCTATTGCTATTAAAAAAATACCTAATACAGAAGGACTGATCAAAAACTACCGTGAATGTCAACATTTTTTAAAAAATTAATTACAGTAAAAGGCAAGTTACTGTTAATCCCCCACTACAAACACACTTATCCCATCATTCTCGCCATTTCCTGAAGCAGTTCTGGAAGTCTTCTTTTCTGAGTGTCTTTACAAGTTGTGATAAAAACAAAAAAGTGTATCTATGGTGACAGGCACTATTATGTGCTATACAGTGGAAAAGGCAGGCTTGTAAAACATTAAAGTTTGTCTTCACCTACCTTAGTCAATGGCGGGGGAATGAGTGACTTCTGGCTCTTCCCCGAAATCAGAATGGCTGTGAAAGGTACATGTTTTTGAACCAGTTCAGGACATCAAGGCAGGCACAACTAAAGACACTCATGTACACAACCTGAAAGAGGAAAGGTTTGTTTTGGCACACAGTTTCAGAGGCTGCACTCCATGGTTGGCCAGTTTGAGGCCTGAGGCAGGGTGGAAACATCACAGGGGCAGGGCACGGCCGGGTGGGGGAGGGGGGGAAGCTATTCACCTTGTGGTGACCAGGAAGAGAGGGAGGGAAAGAGCCTGTGTCAAGGGCAGAATCCTTCCCACTTCCCCTCCAGCTGGGTGGATCCCAGGTTCCCCCTGGGCAGGACACTGAAGGCCATGGAGGTGACTCCTGATTACTCTGCTCAGAGATGGCAGTACCAGGTGGAGGATGGAGGGGATTGTCTGCATTGGAACCCACAGTAGCTCTGTGGCCTTTGGCAAAGCATCCAACCTCTCTGTGCCCACTTCTCTCATTCAGGAAAAACAGACACCACCATTGTTCTGATTTAGGGCTCCGTTGTCCCGCTGGAAGCTACTGTTTCCTTCATGCCCCCATACTCAGCACGGGCAGGCCTTTGTGCTGACCACAGGAGCATGAGATTTTTCCAGGTGAACTGCTAGAAGGTCAGACCCCACTCATCTGCGATTCGCAGTGGAGTGGAAAATGACAGGAGGGCAGGTCCATGCGTCCACGCCCCCCTTCCAGGGCTCTGCCCATTCTGCTATTACGAAACCCTGTGGTCATCACCTTCCCAGGGAGTCCTCACCATCTCTCAGGTTCTGGCTCCCACCAGCCAGCACCCTGGTGCCCACTTGCTTTGGTTTGATTCTGAGAACAGCACAAGGTCTTTGGGCACTGATATCAGCAGCGTGGAATGTTCCACGAATTTCAGGTTGTGGCCGGCCACGGGGCTGCATGTCCATGGGAGCTGTTTTCAGGGAGTCAAAGAACCCCTGCCGGGGAGCCCTTGAGGAGGGTGACTGAATGCCTTGAGGTGCTGTGGGGACAAGACATTGCCTGCAGTGGGAGCAGTGAGGTACTACAAAGCAGAACGGTAAATTCTGCACATCCTCCAGACCCATACACAGACTGCTGGTTTCTTGAAACAAGCCAGTGTCGACAGAGAGTGAACGTTCAAGGTCGAGATCAGTTTGAATGGATTCCTTGCTTTCTCAGAGCATTTACCATGCTAATCTCTGAGCCTCCGACACTATGGGTGGAGGAAGGGAAGGACACACAAGTGCCTTTAGGGGACCCTTTCTTAGAGTTTGGAGGGCACTGATCTCACCAGCTTCTGGTCATCGTTCGGCTGGTTGTTGAGCGGAAACTAATGAAGTCGTGTATAATAGTTCTCTGCCTTCGTTTTCCCCTCTGGATAATGGGGGTGGTCTTCTTGGTAGCTAAATTGAGCCCAGGAGCCTGGAGCAGAGCTCTTAATGAGGGCGGCTGGTGATGAAAGACCCTCTTAAGCTTCAGCCACTATTATTAGTGACGGAATAAATGTGGCCAGCCAAGGAGACGCGCACGAATAAATTTGAATAGCAAGACACAAATGCGGCCCTTAACTCCGACTCGCAAATAGAGTTTAATAAAGAGGTAAACTGAGACCGCTTTTATTTATTGCTGTGTAAATGTATTTAAAAAGGTATTGGCTTTCTGCAGCTGCAGAGGCCGGCTCTTCTGCAGCCTGGTGCTCTCGGGCCCGCCGCTGTTATTAGAGCCGTAATGAATGAGCTGCTGTGAGTGCGCTCTTCAGAAGGGCTACAGAGGTACAAGATTAATGAGACGGCAGCATTGAAAGGTACAGACAGCCCCTGTTTCACAGCCGCCGGGCCATGTCTACAGCAGCACCTCTGGCTTTGTTTGCTCCGCAGTGGCTGCCGGCTGCGGTGTGGAAATGTCCCCAGGATCCAAGCTCAAGGCTGGAGGCTGCTACGTACAACTGTCCCCGGGATCTGGGATGGGGCTGGAAGGTGCACATTTGCCACTTTCATCCTGTGTCCCTGCACCTTCTCCCTGCATGGATCCTATTTGTCCCCCACCCTCCAGGGACAAGTTTTCCTGGCTTTTCTTTTTCCCACCCCAGCCTGCAGTGGTCTAGGTCCTCCTCCTTCTGTGCTGGTCTTAATACCACCCCATTGCCTCCCACACACCCCTTTTTGGGGCACAGGTGGAATCCTCCAGGTGAACCCAGCAGCTGTGTCCAGCGTGGAGGAGTCTGCTGTGCTACATAGGGCAGCTTCTGGGGGCCAAGGCATGGCATTTTTTAGGGCCTGGCAACACCGTGCCTCCACAGGGCAGGGTGGCCACTTAATAATGCAAATGTGACTTTGGGCAACAGTGAAAAGGTGCTTTGTGAAGACCGACTTCCCTAGTTTAGAGTTCATATACTGATTATAGAAAGGTTATTTAGGGTTAGAACAAAGCAGCTATGCTATGTATTTCACAACTCCCTGCAGGGAAGTGGTCAACCCATTTTATGATACAGACAGAGCCTCAAAGGGTAAAAAAGTACACAGACCAAGAAGTGCTGGGCTAGAGACTACTCTTGCTGGCGGCATCCCTCTCTGTGTGCTGGTATCATGACGTTCTCTTGCCTGACAGAGGGCTTTCTTGCTTAGGGTTCACACATCAGGCTTGACCTAGATGAATAGTAAAGAGCCAGGTACCAGCGAAGGCCACAGGCCACCACTCCCAAGAAGCCACACTGGGTACAGAGAACCACAGGAAGGAGAACTGTGTGAGCCAGCTGAGTCACTTCACCTCTCTAAGGCTCTGTTGCTCATCTGTCCGGTGAGGACAACCCTCCCTCATGCCTTGCGGCTTTGTGACTAGCAAATCAGAGAACGCATGTAAACTACTTAAAAGCACATGAGAAATTTCCAGTGCATATTCAATTTAAACAATCTGTAATCTGAGTCAGTATGCAGAAAGGCCCCTCAACACATGTTTAGACTTCAAAGAAAGAGAAGTTCAGAGATGAGAAAAATAAGTTCTGGTATTTTATTGCGTAGTGGGATGACCACAGTTCACAGTAATGTATCGTGCATTCCAAAACAGCTAGAAGAGAGGTTTTGAATGCTCTAACCACAAAGAAACGATAAACGTATGAAGTGATGGATATGCTAATTACCTGATTTGATCATGACACAATGTGTGCATAAATTCAAGCATCGCGTTGTATTCCATAGAGATGAACACGTGTAATATTTTTAAAAATAGAAATAGGAATATTGGGCAGTTTGCACCGGCCTGAGACAAACCAGAAGAAGCCGTCCCATGGATGGGCTGAGAAAGCCAAGTGGGCCTGGAGGCTGAACGTGCCCCCTTCTTCATTTCTCAGGCAGGCAGTTGTGGAGCAGCTCCCCACATGTGGATTTGTTGGGTGCAGGAGATACGATGACAGTGACCAAAGCAGCCCCAGTGTGTGTCTTCCTAAAGCTCCTGTTCTGGAGATAGGTACAGCAAGTCAGGAGTAGGCAAAGGCTACAGAAAAATGGGGTAGGGAAGACTGGGGACGAGGGTCCACTCTTGGAATGACCTAGCAAGGTAGGAAGTGAGTCATGCTTATATCCGAGTAGAGAATGTCCCTGGCAGCAGAAGCAATCCATCCAAAGGCCCTGTTTGCCACAGGGTACGTCTGGAGCATCTGAGGGAGGTCAGTTCAGGTAAAACAGCATGGATAGAGGGTTACCAGGTTCAGGAAGCCATGGCCTAGAGGCCCTGGACATCTGCCCTCCTGACTCTGAGCCCTGCTCTCACTGCAAGGGAAGCAATGGAGGTGCAGAAGCTTTTGCAGATTCCCAGTGGGTTGGCCGAGGCCAAGAGCAGAGTGAGCTCAGGGAACACTGCCCAGTGCTAGTCTGGCCAGGGAATGGCCCAGCATGGAGGACTGGGAGAAGCAGAGGCCACTCGGGCCGCCACCCACAGAGAAGGGGCCAAGACCCCTACCTCCACCCTTGCCCTGGTCAGATCCTGCAAACTGCAGGTTGTCTCAGCAGCTTCTGCCCATGGAAGGTTTGCAAGCTGCCAGAGGAGAGCAGTCCGGTCCGGAGGACCTGGGCAGGGCAAGGGGAGAACAGCACGCGAGTGGGTGAAATCATGGCAGAGGCAAGAGAAGAAGGAGGGTGAAAGGAGGATGGGGGTCACAGAGGCCGAAGAGGAAGCTGACCCAGCTGATGTCCAGGCCAGAGCCCACCCTCAGCTCCTGCCCTGGCCAGACATTAGTACTCATTAGCACGTCCTCTAACTTACCAAGAAATTCAATTTCCTACAAAATAACCAGCCAGGTCCCAGGGGAAGCAGAAGTCCTATTCATCACAGCTGGGCTTTCTGAGGACCTCACTGTCCGCTCCCCGGATTTCTTCCTGCGGGGATGCTGGCCCACCGTGGGAAGACAGACTAATTGGCATCTCGGTAGGCTGGGCATTTTTTCCATTGGATCTGCAGTTACTAAGTAAACAGACATCAAATCAGCAGCCCCCCTGAGCCAAAGGAAAGTTTGCACACTCACATGTGGCTTGAATTAAGCAAGCACTGCAGCCACCAAGGCATGTGTGCTAAGAAATAAACATTTAGCGTGTCAGGGTTGTGGATTTTTGTTTTGTTTTGTTTTTTGCCGGCCTTTTAAGGAAGACAGATGTCAGTATTTTAAAATTCCACATAAAAATGTCACTGGCAATATTTCTAATACCACTTCACAATTGTCAGCTGGGGCAAACCGTCATGTGTGTGTCCAAACACGTATGAAGGTGTGTGTGAGAGAGAATGTCGAACAATGGGTAAAATGTGTAAATAGTGTAAATGGATGTGCATGTGGCAGGGGGAGCTGCTAATAACCCAGCACGTGACCGTGTGTATGGCCATGTGTGAGCACAAAAGTGCATGCATGTCTGCTTGTGTTGTGTGGGAAGGCACCAGTGTGAGCACATATGGGCATGTGTGCATGAGAAGGTGTGAGTGTGGATGTGTACATCCACACTGCTGTGTGCGTGTGTGAGTGTGTACATAAGCACATGTGTGTCCCATGCAGTGGGTACACTGGGCTGTGCCTGTGTGGTCATCTGCATGCACATGCACATATGTGTAAGTGCTCACTGCTGCTCTGTCTCCTAGCAGCCAGCCTGTCACCTCCCTCCTGCATTCTTCAGCAGCTGGGCCCAAGGCTGTGGCCAAGAAAGCAATCAGGCCTCCCATTTGTATCCAGCGTGTCACCCCCCCACGCACACCCCGGGCTGTGGGCAGGCAAGAGGCAGGGAGGGAGGCACAGCTCTCCTCCTCTGAGGCTAGACCCCCTCCCTCCCCACACCTGAGGAGCCCTGGCCAGGCTGCAGCAGTGGCGGGGCGGTTGGGGGGGGTGCGCCCCAGGCTTCCGCCACGCTCCCAATTACTGGCACCTTCTGAGAGGCTGATGGAAAAGAGACCAGTTGCCATGAAGAAGATTTTCCGCCAGAGCATTCCCACTCCCCACAAAAAGAACCTTCCGCATATTAGACACATTTTTCAATGTAATTATCCCCAGCCCACACACACAGCTTGGAGGATTAAAACATAAAATACAGTCTGCTCCCCACACATGAGACCAACACCACAACAGGCATCATAATAAATAAATGAAGTGGCCTCTCCTCCTCCCTCCCTCTCCTCCCCATCTCCTGCTCCCCGCTCTTTCTCTCCTCCCCCCTCCTCCACCTCTGCCTGGCGCTGGGCTTGTTTTGCTTCTTGTCTTCTGGATCCTGGCCATCCCTCCACCCCCTTCCCGCACAGCCCACGGTGGGCAGCAGCATCGCCACAAGGGAAGACGCCCCACGCTGCCGCTGCCACCGTGGAACGAGGGCTTTGTTCGACAAGCCACCCAGGGTTCCATTGGCTGCGTCTGCCGCAGAAGGTTCACGGCACTCAGCTCTGGAGGAAGGGCAGGGGTGGGGGCGGGAGCGGGGAGGCGCATGGCAGATTTTATAAGCAAATGGCTTCGTGGATCATTGCAGGGACATTAGGAAGCATCCTAGAGCACCTAAAACCAAACGCCTCGCTGCAAATGGATGGGAGGGCTTTTGCCACGGACCTGCAGCTCTGGAGCAGTGTGGGTTGCTAGGGAACAGCCCTGAGGATGTTTGTCTGCAGGCTGAGCATTCGGGATCCACCTGGGGTTTCCAGGAAGAAAGCCACTGCCAGCTGCTCGCGCCAGCACCAGCAGGGGAGAGGGACCAGGAAAGCTGTGCAGCCAGGCAGCCGTGGGCTGGGCATTAGGCACCAGGGCCCCCAGCTGACTCCCGATGGGCAGAGTATACACTGGGGGTTAGGTTTTGTGGGCAGCCCATGCTGGTACCCAGCTTGATACATAAAACCTCGGCCACAGGTATCACCATGCTGGTAAGAAAGTTCCAGCGTGGGCAGTCTGAGCTAAGTGCTCCCTTTCTGGGCACCTTCTCTCCATCTCCTTCTGCATTTCTCTCCACCAACCCAGCCCCAGTGTCTATCTTTTGCTCCCTGCTGCCCTGCTGCCCTGACTGCATGCTCTTGAGTAGAAGTAGATTCCTCCCAGCTTCAGTGCAGCGCATGTAATAATACTCATGCACCAGCTAAATGACGAAAGGTGCAGATGTGTTTCTTCTCTGAGCAGATTAATTTGGTGCTTAGCAGGAGGGACCTGGTTCACATTGTTCTCTAGGCAGGAGCTGTTCTAGGTTTCAGCTTGGGTACCAGTTTTGGGAAAGGTGCTGAGAAAATAATTATCCATTATTCTGGGTCAGCACTGAGTGGGAGGATGACTTGGCCAACTTGGGTTTTCATCACATCTCTGCCACATAAGGTGCTGTCAGACATGTCACTGACTCAGTGATCTAATCTGTAAAATGGGTTTAATTAAAATTAGATAGAATAGTAAGTGAAAAGTCCCACCCTCGTATGGGCCTCGTAAGTGCAGGATTGTATGTCTGGCAGCCTACCATTCATCTATTGGCTTGGTTACCTTCTGCCTCACCCACCCACCTGTGTGGACTGTCCATTCTGATCTGGGCCAGACCTTATTCTGCTAGGGAGGTGCTGGCTGCTGGTTTAGACTTTCAAGGAATGTGTGGCTGTTTTCCCTGCCTTATTGCTACACACTTGTTGCTGAGAGCAGAATTGCCTCACATGGCAGTACAGGCCTGAGCCTTTGCTCTGCATGCTTATTTGGGGAACAGTGAGACCAACGCTGGCTGGGCATGATTTTCCCTCCAGCACTACCCAGAATAAAAGAACATAGGGTCACTGTGTCCCTTCCTCCTCAGCTTTCTGCTAGCTATCTGGGATAATTATCAATGAAGTACCTAATATCTTCCCGCTCCAGGGCTGGCACATAGAGCCATCAGAAATACTGAATGAATGGATAGATACCTGCAGTCCATAATGGCATCCGGATTTGTTGGTCAACCTCAGAGGTGAGTGTTAGCCTCACTTGCCAGGTTAAGGCTCAGGGAAGTGACATGTATCAGCTGCAGATGGGCAGTCACTGCTAGGACTTAATTCTGAGCTAGCATGACCCTTGGGTTCCTCTCACTCCCATGGGTGTTCTCTCATCCCACTGTCCTGTTTTCCTGGCACCAAAATGACAGGAGAGACCAGGGAATGTATCTCAGGGATATCTTGATTTTCCTTTACACCATGTCTTCTGTTCAGTCCATGAAGAGAATAAAGATTAGAATATGGTTTTCCAGGAAATTTTGACAATTTGGACTTCATTCAAATAAAACTTCTACTTATCAAAAGATATCATGAAGAGCCCAAAAAGCCAAATCACAGAACAGGAAAGAGCATTTGGAGGAAGTGTATCAAATAGAGTAATGCTACCCACATACAGAAAAAAAACTCCAAATCAACAAGAGGCGAAAACCCACAGAGATACGGGCAACAGGCTTGAATAAACACTTCACAAAACAATGTGTCCAATAAGTATAAAGCCTCAACTTCAATAACATTAGAGAAATGCATATTAAACCCATAACAAGACAGCAATACACATTCACTAGAAGGGCTAAACTCAACAGCCCAACAATAGCTAGTGTTGATAGAGACGTGGAGCATCTGGAATGCTCCTTCACTACTCTCAGAAGAGTAAAATGGTCCCACCAACTTGGACAACTATCAGTCTATGCTAACTTGGGAAGGGTCCATACCACATGAGTCCACCACTGTACTCCTATGACTCAACCCACACAAATGTGTACATACGTTCACCAAAAGGCATGTGCCAGAATTTAAAAAGAAAGCCACATCCTTCAAAAAGAAGAAACAACCAAAATGCACGTCCGTGGGAGATTGGATAAAACCTATACAGCAGTGGACATGAACAAACCGCCCCTCTACAGAGCAGGACAGACGCATCTCAGAACCATAATGCTGAGCTAAGAAATACATATGGGATGAGTTCACTTCAATAAAATCCCAAGGCAAGACTGAAAAAGGTCAGAATAGAACTGTCCTTTAAGCCTCGATAACAACAATCAGTCTGGGAAAACCTCCCTCCCTCCCTTCTCTCTCCCTGTCTCATGATGGATAGATAGATAGACAGATAGATAGATAGATAGATAGATAGATAGATAGATAGATAGATGATAGATATAGGTAGATGATGGATGTGTGCATACATATATACAAGTAATATATAATTTTATATACTTACAGTGTATAGATTCTGCTGAACTAGTTGAGATCTCCTGTCTCTTTACTCCTAAATATTTGAGTATATATCTAAATATTTCCATGTATATTTCCCAAGACTAAGGACTATCTCTTATATAACCACAGTTCAGTGATCTGAATCAGAAAATGTAACATTAATATAACAATGTCACCTAATCCACATTCCATGTTCTAATGTCACCCATGGTCTCTATAATGAAATGTGCACCTTTTCCCCTGTTCTGGACCAGCCAGGGTTCAGCTCAGCTCCACGCCTTGCATTCAGGCTCCATGTCTCTTTAATATCCTTTGATCTGGGGCACTTCTTCAGCCTTCCTCTCTTCCTCCTTCCTTTCCTTTCTTTCTTCCTCCCTTCCTTCTTTCCTTCCTCCCTTCCTGCCTCTCTTCTTCCCTTCTTCCCTCCTGCCTTCCCTCCTCCCTCCCTTCTTTCCTTCCTTCCTTCCTTCCTCTCTTCTTCCTTCCTTCCTTCTCTGACCTTGGTGGTTCTGAGTGCAGGTCAGGTATGCTGGAGAACATCCCTGACCTGGTGTTTCCCAGGGTCGAGTGAACGGTGTGTGGGAAGATGTCTTAGATTCTGGAGAGGCTCTCCCGGGCGCCTGCTGTGTGCCTGCTTTGTGTGGTGAGCAGCTCCCAACCGCCTGCAAGGTAGGCACACTCCCATCTCCCACAGACTTAGCCACCAACATGATAACTTTGTTTTGCAATGCTTGGGGATGGAACACGGGGCCCTGTGAGTGCTAGGTGTTATGGTTTAGCTCTAGAATGTCTCTCCAAAGTCTCAAGTGTTCAAACGTGGGTTTTGGAAAGTTATTAGACCATGCAGGTGCTACACTCATCAACAGATTAATTCACTCATGAATTTATAGCTAAATTTACTGTTTGAAGCTCAGTGGAGGAGGAGGGTCCCTAGAGCATGCCCTTGAAGAGTATATCTCCCTCCCACTCCTCTCTTCCTTCTCTCCCTGCTTCCTGGCTGTACTGCAGCAACCAGCTCTCCTCCACCATGGACTTCCACCATGATGTTCCTTCCTTGGAGTCATCCAACCAAGACTGAACCCCCTGAACCAGGAAACCAAATTAAACTTTTCCTCCTTTAAGTTGTGGGTCCAGCATCACGTCCCGGCAATGAGAAAACTGCCTAATCCACTAGGCCGGCACCGTCTCACTGAGCCAGAGACCACACTCATTACATAAACTGATTACAGAACCACATGGCACCATGAACTTTACTAAAGTGAATCCGAAGCACAACCTCATCTAAACCTGCCAGCATCTGGAGAGGAGGAAGCAGAATGAATGTATTACTTGCCTACAGTCGAAGATTTCAGAGACAGAGATAATATTGATAATGATAATGGCCAACATCCTTTTAATACTTAGGACAGATCCTTGGCAATAGGAAATTGTACAGGAATTGTTTCTATCTCCATTTCATAGAGGTGAAAACTGAGGCCCCGAGATTAGTAACTTGCTACAGCCACTCAGCTAATGTACAGGATTTGAATCCAAGTAGTCCGACCCCAAGGCCCCATTCTGAACCACTCCTCCACTTAACCTTTTCAAAATGACACTGAAGGGTGGGGGTAGCTTCATTTCCCTTACTGTTTCTGGCCTGTTTCTGTAACAGTGCAGAGGAGAGGTAAGGCCAGCAGGAAAGTGGCATCAAAAGCAAGCTGTGTGGTTGCCGAGGGAGGAAGGAGGAAGGGCTGGAGAGAGGAGGCAGAGGCAAGCTGCAGCACCCCAGACCAGCCCACCCACCCCTGTAGCCCATCTCCCTAGCACATTCCCCATGCTGGACTCTACAATCCCACTGCTGGCAAAAGTAGAACAAAACCCTGGGTGGGCCAGGAGCTCCCTGCATCTCCCCCTGAGCCAGACGGTTTCTACCGAGAGCCGTAGGTCACGGTGGCAATTCCTGCAACACGTGCTCTGGCCTGTTCCCACCGTCCGTGCTGCAGCCACCCTGCTTTCCGCTAGTTGCCGGCCTTTTAGCATCATTAGGCTGAGCAGAGGGAAAGCTGTGTTTACGGCTTGGCATGAAGAACATGCAGATCTCTGTTGCCAGGCTACAAATGACTCTCCCCACCCCCCAGAAGGGAGAAATAATGATTAAAACATATTCAGTTGCTTGGC